AGTGTTTACCAAAATAATTACAACCTTTTCTTTTTTTTTCTTTCTTGTTTTTTTATGTTTCTATTAATTATAAAATCAATTTAAAAAATTTTAATTTGGTTTTGGGTATCTTAAGTTTTTGTTGGATTAGGTCAGTTTTGGCTTTGGTACTGACTAATCTCACACTGTCTGCACAAATATATTATTGTTATGATGACCAGTGTTGCCCTTGCCGGCAGCTAAAGAACAATCCCTGTCATTCTACTGAACTACAACTACCATCATCCCCTTCAGTCACACACCCGTTTCAGTTCGCCTTCTGATTACACACACACCCTTCAATGATTAATTGGTCACACTTTACAATAAGGTTCATTAGCTAATGTTAATTAATGCATTTACTAACATGAACAAACAATGAACAATACATTTACTACTGTATTTGTTCATGTTAGTTAACGTTAGTTAATGAAATTACAGCAGTTCATTGTTAGTTCATGTTAACTCATGGTGCATTAACTAATGTTAACAAGCATGACCCTGAATGTTAATAATGCATTAGTAAATGTTCAATTAGGATTAATAAATGCTGTCCATGTGCTGTTCATGATTAGTTCATGTTAGTAAATGCATTAACTAATGCACCTTATTGTAAAGTGTTACCGATTAATTTGAATTATTTAGCCTGACATGTTTACTGCTCCAAAATATTAAAGTTTCTCAAAATAAAATATATTGTGTTCATATATTATTTTATACACATACATTTAAAAAGAGCATATTAGAGCAGTAATCACAATACCGTAAAACTGTGAAACCGTGATAATTTTATTTAAGGTTATCTACCTATGCCCATGCCTACATCACACACACTAATATCTGTGCTGAGTCTTATTTCCTTCAAAGCATTTCCTGGCATGTTTTGACCCTTGTTTGTATCATTGTTTAGGTTTGTTTTGTCACCTGCCTTGATCCTTCAACTGTTTACTGATTACTCTTGTGGAATACCTTCATGCAACTGTCTGTCCTTGTTTTGAACCTTGCCTGTATGACCATCCTAAACAATCTGCATTTGGATCCAACCTTTGTTGTCACCACCCAACTCATTACAATTGTTAAGCATCCTATACAAAATAATACTTTAAAAGAAAGATCTGTGAGGGGTGTACTCATTTATGCTGAGCAATGTATATACAAGTCGACATGATTAACCCTAATTTAAAATTATATATTTTTTCTTTTTTAAATATTTTCCAAATAATGTTTATCGCAGCACAATGTTTTAGGTCAATATTATTATCCACCTCAAGCATTTTTTTTTAATTGTCTACAGAAAAAAAACATTGTTATAAAATGACTTGCCTAATTATCCTAACTTGTCTAGTTAACTTTAAGTCATTAAATTCCATTTTAATTTGAATACTAGTATCTTGAAAAATATCTAGTAAAATATTATAAACTGTCATCATGGCAAAGATAAAAGAAATCATTATTAGAAATGAGTTATGAAAAGTATTATGTTTAGAGATGTAACGTAATTGAGAAATCTGAAATTGGGCAAAATAGACATGTGGACTAATAATTCTAACTTCAACTCTATATCACTCACTTATTTTCCTTTGACTTCATTCCTGCTTTATCATGGGTCACCACAACAGAATTAACCACCAATTACATATCAATTGTTTTAATTGTCTCATCTAGCTGGAACTGAAACAATGCAGCAACCCTCTTGCTGTGAGGCAAACATATTTAATTAATTCATTTATTTTACAAATTAAGAGGAACTTTGCAGCATCATATTGTTTCGGTTACTATTTAAATATATATAGGGTTGTTGCTCATGTGCATGTTGTTTAAATTGAACAATGTGTATGCTGTGTATATTATTTAAAAGCTACAGTATCTTTGGGGTTTCTTTAATGTCATGTTAGGCTGTGTGCAGAAGCAGGAATAGAAAGAGTCTAATTGTAAATAATGCTCACCTCAGCTAAATACTTAATGCAGTGGCTAATGTACACTAATAAGATCACTAATTATTAGCCATTCATAGGAGAGGAAAGATGTTCTGATGAGTCAGATAAGGATTATTTAGAGACTGTAACCGAATGAGACTTTTGGCTGGAATACTGGTGATTTCTCTAGAGGGAAAGACAAGGACCTGAATTATAATGTGGATAATGATCACCAATGATTACTGAATCATTTATTACGAAAGTAAACATAGTTTATATATTATATTCTGAACTGTTGCACTAAATCATGAATGAATTATGAATGAATTATTCATAATTGATGAATTATTTAAAATTACAAAGAGTGAAATAATGAAACATTTATATTTTAGTGTATTTACTTGTTTACAAAATTTCTGCAGTTATTCAGACTATTCATAATGATCCCCAAATTATATAGTGCAAAGGTAGAAATATAACAATATAATATAATATGAAATAATATAATATAATATAATATAATATAATATAATATAATATAATATAATATAATATAATATAATATAATATAATATAATATAATATAATATATAGGGCAACGCAGTGGCGCAGTAAGTAGTGCTGTCGCCTCACAGCAAGAAGGTTGCTGGTTCGAGCCTCGGGTGGGTCAGTTGGCGTTTTCTGTGTGGAGTTTGCATGTTCTCCCTGCGTTCGCATGGGTTTCCTCCGGGTGCTCCGGTTTCCCCCACAAGTCCAAAGACATGCGGTACAGGTGTATTGGGTAAGCTAGTTGTCCTTAGTGTTTGAGTGAGAATGAGTGTGTACGGATGTTTCCCAGAGATGGGTTGCAGCTGCGTAAATCATATGCTGGATAAGTTGGCGGTTTATTCATTTATTATAATATAATGAAGTGTTTATGCATATTTATAAATATTTATTCAATAAATAATTCAATTATTTATACAAATGTTTTACTGTAAATCCATAATGCTCCACAATGATAATATAAAATAATATTATTGTTTTAATTTATGTTTTATAACAATTATTATTATTTCTTTATTTAGTCAAGAGATTACGTTGAGACCGTACTGTCTCTTCTTTCAGTGAGAACTGGTCGAGACGGCTGGCAGCACACAAAGTTTCACATAAAATCACAAAAACAATACCACAAAATTGCAAAAACACCGTTCGTTAAAAGGTCAGGTCATAAAAAATAATTACAAGTATTCTTTGAGATGTGGTACAGAAGATGTTTAAAAGTACTCAGAGTCAGAAGTGTGTCAATACTAAACTGATTTTGCAGGTCATTCCAAACACTACCACAAAAGAAATAATAGCATGTTTGCCAAGATCTGAATATACCCTTGGGACTGTTAAACGAATACAGGAACCAGATCTAGTGCGTTGGTTATTTATGTGAAGCTTTACTCTATTAACTGAAAGATATACACTACCTGACAAAATTCTTGTCGTCAATCACAGTTGTAAGAGCAAAAAATAACTTGACTTTTCTGATGAATCAACTATAACACTGCATCCCACTCATTAGATATACTGGAGAAGATCTATTGGAAGCTGCATGGACCCAAGATTCTCACAGAGATCAGTTAAGTTTGGTGAAGGAAAAATTATGGTTTAGGGTTACATTCAGTTTAGAGGCATGCAAAAGATCTGCAGAGTGGATGGCAACATCAACAGCCTGAGGTAAAGACATTTGTGCTGCCCAGTACATTAGCAACCACAGAAGAGGGCAAGTTCTTCAGCACCATAGCGTTCCTTCTCAGACTTCAGTCTCCACATCAAAGTTTCTAAAAGCAAAGAAGGTCAAGGTGCTCCACGATTGGCCAGTCCAGTCACCAGACATGAACATTATTGAGCATGTCTAATTAAGATGGAGGCATTGAAGATGAATCCAAAGAATCTTGATGAACTCTGTGAGTTCTGCAAGAATACTTTCTTTGCCATTCCAGATGACTTTATTAATAAGTTATTTGAGTCATTGCAGAGATGTATGGATGCAGTCATCCAAGCTCATGGAAGTCATACACAATATAATTTTCCACTGCAGCATGACTTTATATTCTTTACTGTACATTACTTCTGTTAAGTGACAAGATTTTTATGTAAGCAAAGTCAGACCTTACTGTCCAAATTTAATAATTAAAAATCAAGGCATGATCATATTTTATTTTGGTACAACAAGCGTAATCTAGATGCCTTTGCTTTTCATATAAGCCACTTCTGATGCCAAATGATCAACCAGAAGTCAAGTTATTATCTGTTCTTAAAATTTAGATAGGCAACAACTTTTGTCAGGTAGTGTAAAAATATTGAAATTGAACAAATATTTGTTAGTGCTGTAAGATTTCTCTTAAAATTAGCAGGAAATAATACTATCGGGAGAATTCATGTTTTTTATATGAATTCATATCTTGACATTTGTTGAAAGACTCACGTTGGAGATCATTTTATTGATTTGGTTTTCCAGAAACACACACTTCCATTAATACATGATAATACATTTGAATTATTTTTTAGCAAAACTAAGTACATGAGGTAGAAGGTAATTCACTGCATTTCTGTAAAAGAAGAAGGAAAAAAAATATTGTCTGAATATTAAAGTTTGAATTTCTTTTAGAGAAAGTATACTGTAATAAATCTTGACCTGAGTGGCCGATACAGTAAGTGTAATATGTTCCAATAAACAGCCAGTGAATTATGACCACAATTATGGATTTTTCTAGGGGAAAAAGGCACATTTGCAAAACAAGCTGTGTGAATCCTATTTCTGTATAATATGACATTATCTGAGATCGATTGGTTATGAACTAATCTCTTTTGCTTACTATGCAGAGATTCAGCTAGACAGGAGCAGTTACATTCATAGTGATGAATGGTGGCCATTTGACCCACTTTTACATATCTCCAGATACACCACTGAAATGCTAAACACTCAGGCAGTGTCTTAAAATCCAATGACCTGCCTTGCTGGAAAGGGAGGGAAAAAACACTGTCTAGGTAGGCAGCTTATGAGATTTAGCTGAATACCCAACCTTACCTTTTCTAAAACACAGCTGTATTTATGCAGTTAGTATTTATTGGTGATGACAAAGAATGCCCACATATGCAGTCAAGGCTTGTTTATCCAAATTTTTGTTATATGGCATCAAGAAAAAAAAGCTCAAATTGTTATCTCATATTTTGTGTCTGCTCCTTCAGCCGCCAGGCAGCATCCATGTATTTAGTGATTTCCGAGTTCTGCCGTGGAAAGTTTAATCTTCTGTCACTGCGATCTGTGACGAGCTGAAGTGTTACATGAAAGAGATGATTAGTCATTTGATTATGGAAGATGTTTTTCATTTTATGCTGTGCTGGCGTTGCTTAAGTACTTAAAGAGTAATCCTTATTAGTAGAGTTTTTAAATAGTGTTAATTAAAAAAAAATATTAACCTCATTTATTTTATATATTTATTATATTTTTATATATTTATATATTTTATACAGGTATGATTAAATAAATAGATACAATTAATACAAAGCAAAAATGGTGTTACTCCTCAGTGTTTTTGACGGAACTAGCTAAACATTCTTAATTCAAGATACATTTAATTAAAAAGCTAAATGGCTTGGGCTGTTTTTCTTAACTTTACTCAATGTTGACTTTTTTTGGTAGAACATTATGGTAGAACATTAAACCAGCCTTTTAGCTTAAACTGTGTTGTTAATGGTTAGCATTCCTTTAAGCGTCAAGAATTATACAGGCAAACACTAATACCTATGACTTTTGATAATACATTATTATTTTCCTTCCAATTTTTTTTTTTATTATTTTAAAGGGACAGTTCACACAAGAATGAAAGTTTAAAATAATCAGAACCCTGTAACCACTGAATTCCATAGTATTTGCTTTTCCTACTATGGAAGTAAATGATACAGGTTTTCAGTTTTCTTCAAAATATTTTTTGTTCAACAGAAGAGAGAACCCCATAAAGGGTTTAAAACACTTGTGAGTACATTTTCATTTTGGGGTGAACTGTCCCTTTAAAACAAGAAAATAAATATTAATACACTTTTTTTAACCCATTGGGCCACATAGATTTTCTTTTGTGTTTAAACTCAGTTGATTTTTATATTTTTTTCATCAGTTTGTCAATCAATTATTTACACATACTGTATAATACATGTAGTACTATGCACTATAATACATTTAGTATAATACAAAAGTATTAAGTATTTTTTTTAGGATTAATGAATATATTAGGATTTCATTAATTTTGACAGACAGACAGACAGTGTCAAAATGTTCAAATTAAAGCTAATATAAAATAGAAACATGTAGAGAACATGTAGTGACACCTCTGTTGTATACAGTCAAACTTTCAAACATTCAAACATGAATTAATATGTACCTACCAGAGGACTAGATAACCATCCTATCTCCTGTGATTCAGTCTGAGGGTGAGTGTACTTCTTTGTTGGCTCCAGGTGGGCATTATGGACAGCCTGAAGGAAAGCAGCTGTACAAAAGGTTGTATAATTAACTTGACAACCACAAATTTTATTCAGTAGTGTAAATATTTTTTTAAATAATTAGTTACTGTGTTGTTAGTAAATAGTTGTTAGTTGATACGTCATACATTTCATACACATCTTACATTTTTGCTTTCAACTTTGTTACTTTTTTAATTAAGTATGTGAACTATTTTCTTGAATATATTTGTGGTGAGGAATGCATTTAGATTTTGCATGGTGCTTAACTTTTCTGCAGCAGTATTTATTTGCAACAGATGAAGCATTGTTGTCATCTACATGGCAATAAAGGTAGCAGGGCTCAACAATAAGGACTGCCCGGTGGCCCAGGGCCAGTGTGAGAGACACTTGGGACAGTAGACCGTATCATTACTGGCCCGATTGGGACAGTGCTGCCTTGTCAGTCACTAACATTTAATTTGTCTGTGACTATTTGTGCATTTTAAGTGTGTGCTTTTAAATCTTTAAATGCTACCTTCTCTGTAATGTCGTAAACAACATATTGCGATTCGTCTTGTATGATTGATTTAACCATGCTATTTTTTTTTGTAACCTGGTAACAACAAGTACAGCGTAGAAACAGCAACATGGCGGCAACATCAAATTATAAGGCTAAACGAAAATGTCTGTCTCTAACGTCTTGGAAGTAGACATTTACGTGGCAACCACACGACAAAATAAAAATGAAGTGATGTTATGCATAGTTTGCTGTCAGTTTGACAAGTCAGCCACTTTTTGTTAAATAATTTCAAACAGCAATAAAGTACCTCCACATTCTCCATACTGCGCTTTTTGCTTGCATAACACTTATATTAACAATTGTTTTTTAAGTATTGAAATTCTAGATTTACAGACTTTATTTTTGACATATTATTTAAAATATGTGGCTAAAAATAGCTATTAACTTCCCTTTTTTTTTGGTGGGGCCAGTGAAAATTTTTGCAGGGCAAGTAAAAATCTGAACCACTTGCCCAATCTGAGCAGTAGAAAAAATCCTTAGCGTTGAACCCTGGGTAGTGTACTATATTCAATTCAGTTGATGTTTATAGCACTTTGATGTAGATTGTGTCAAAGCAGCTTAACATAGAAGTTGTAGTAACTATGCTTTGTATTTTTTGCTTTAACTCCTCCATACTTGTCAACAAGGCTAATATGTAAGTGTGATCACAGTTGGTTGTTTTCAAATATGATATGACAACATCCAGTTATGATTAAATTTTTTTATCACTGATTATATTGTATTCAATATTATATTATATTGAAGAAATATATGTTTTTATGCACTTTTTTTGCATGCGAGTTTAAAGGCATAGTACACCCAAAAATACAAATTCTGTCATTTACTCTCCATCAAATGATTCCAAACTGGTATGAATGTAAACATTTGAAATCATTTGATGGAGAGTATCATTTCATCAAAAAGGAAGCAATTTCAAAGAATTCTGCAAACTGTTGAACACTAACTTCTATAGTTTATAGGGGTTTTTCCCACTAGGCCTGCTATTTTATAACGTTTTTCAAAATATATTTTGTTTAAAAGAAAAAAAAACTCAATTTGATTGGAACCACTTGAGTGGGGTTAAATATGAGTAAATCTTCGTTTTTGGTATAATTTTATGTCTGTCTTGAGTATCTGTAGATGTTAAATGGACTATAGTGTTGATTACAAAATTATAAATGTTTTAAGAAACATAGAATACTCACGATCCCCCTCCTCCTTTTTGTGGGCGTTACTGGACATTGGTTTATCAGTCAAAACGTGCACTGTAGAAACAAAATATACTGTTTTCCCTTGTCTTTTCCCCAGTTCTTTCTTTATCATGCATTTAGTCAAGGTAAGGTAACTTAAGTCAAGGTCTGCACTCACGTTTCTTGAAGGGGTTGATGTTAAACTCCGTGTAAAGCTTCTGGTGTCTCAACTCCTTCATTATTGTCTCGACATGAATAGCATTCTGGTGAACTATGTCCAATGGTTCTTTTTCTTTAAGTTTTGCCATATTTAAGCTGTTAAAATGTTTTTTCGGATGCTAATGTGTGTTAGTCTGAACACAGAGTCACTCACAGCTGAGGGTTGAGTCTTGTTGCTTGGAAACCGTAAATACAGCAAAGCAAATGCATTTTCTTTCACCACGCGAGGGCGCTGAATGACCAGTTATTAAACATTTACCACAGACGCTCTTCTGATTGTAACGGTATTTACTGTCAATACTTCCAACAGTGATTTCCAACTGGAACCATTATCCACTTCAGATTGATAAACAAGGTAATGAAAAAAGCTATTAAGTAAATTAATAAAAACATATAGCCTATGTTTGTTGCGGATTAAGAAACAATACTATCAACTTTGTAAAAATAGAAAACAACTATTATTTTTTTACTTTTTCACTTTTTAAATCTTTTGGAAACAAACTGTAAATAAATAAATAAATAATATATAAAATATCTTAACTGACAAAACTTTGACCAAAGGAAGTGATATTTTTTTCTTATCATTTAAAATCCAAGAATATCTGATATATATATATATATATATATATATATATATATATATATATTGTATTATCATAATAATATGCATCATATTTGTTGTTGTTGTAAAATAAACCATAAAAAATACTTTTGATGTTATCTTATTATTCAATTTATTTATTATTTTTATTTTATTATTATCCATTTATATTATTACCCATTATAATTATATAAAATAATGAAAATATTATTATGATAATTATTATAATAATCCCTGCTGATGCTGCTGGCCCAAGATAAGTAGCAGACAACGGTAGATGATAGATGGATGGATGAGGATGATGATGACTATTATTATTATTATTATGTCAGTAAAATTATATATTTATTAAATTTTTATAATTTTTTTTATTTTCTGATAGGCCTGTTTTATTAATGAGACACTTGGCTTTCAAGATCTAGGTTGTTGTTTTTCTAGGTATAGACTCATTTCTTGTGTTTTTATATATATAAAAAAATATTGAACAAAGAACATTTTTTCTTTCTCATAACTTCAGCATGTATAACTTCAGCATGAAATTTTGTAGATGGACCATAGTAAAGCTCAAAATTTTTTCTTTCCAATGATACCTATTTATTTTATTTATTTTTTATTTTTTGTAGCTTACTGGGGTCAAGATCTGTTAATATTTTAAATTAGATAGATGTAAAAACCCATAAGTGGGGTGCTGACTAACAAGTTCAAAAGCCAAGAATATGTGAAATTATTTTACTTTTATTTTAGTTTATATGGGTAGCACAATCGCCTCACATGCAGCAAGAAGGTCGCTGGTTCGAGCTCCGGCTGGATCAGTAGGCATTTCTGTTTGGAGTTTGCATGTTCTTATTGTGTTCACAAGGGTTTCTTCTGGGTGCTCTGGTTTCCCCCACAAGTCCAAAGACATGCGGTATAAGTGAATTGAATAAGCTAAATTGCCTGTAGTGTATGTGTGAGTGAGAGTGAATGGGTGTTTCCTAGTAATGGGTGGCAGCTGGAAGGGCATCTGGTGCGTAAAACACATGCTGGATAAGTTGGCGGTTCATTCCGCTGTGGCGACCCCAGATTAATAAAGGGACTAAGCTGAAAAGAAAATGAATGAATGAAACAGAAGCAAAGTGTCATCTGCAGTTTTCTTCTAAAATGAGCATTTTAACCAGGCTCCTGTGTGGGTTCAGTATTTTCACTTTAATGGCAGAGAATATGATCTTTTCATTTCATTTAAAGTGAAATAACTGAACATAAACTGGAAAAAGGTTGATTTAAAAAAAGAAAATTTCAAATGGCACTTAGAGTTTTTTGCTTCTAAACACTTATATTTTGTTGAGTAAACAATTAAATAAATACATAAATTAATGATTGGTTGTTTACTTTTGTACTCACCAACAAAACCTAAATAAATGTTGTCATTAAAATTGTTAAACAGTATTTTTGTTGTTATATAAGAACCAAAAATAATTTTTCCATTTCGTTCAGGTTTTGTAAAATGAATGAATTAAGGAATTTGACAAAAGCAAAACTTTGACATTATTGGAAGTGTTAAATTATGTTTTACTATTTGTGAACCAAGAATATATGAAGTCAGAATTATTAGCCCCCACCCCCCTATATCATCAGCCCCACTGTTTATTTTTACCCCAATTTTTGTTTAGCAGAGAGAAGATTTTTTCAACACATTTCTAAACATAATAGTTTTAATAACTCATCTCTAATAACTAATAACTGGTTTATGTTATATTTGCCATGTTGACAGTAAATAATATTTGACTAGATATTTTTCAAGACACTTCTATTCAGCTTAAAGTGACATTTAAAGGCTTATGGTTAATTAGGTTAACTGGGTAGGTTAGGGTAATAAGGCAAGTTATTGTATAACATGGTTTGTTCTGTAGACAGTCGGGAAAAAAACAGCTTAAAGGGGCTAATAATTATGACCTTAAAATGGGTTATAAAAAAATTTAAACTGCTTTTATTCTAGTCGAAATAAAACAAATAAGACTTTCTCCAAAAAAAAAAATCATCAGACACACTTTGAAAATGTCCATGCTCAGTTAAACATTTGGGAAATATTTAAAAAAGAAAAAAATCAAAGGGTGGCTAATAATTCTGACTGTATATATAACTGGATACGAATTTTTAATATTAAGGCTCATTTAGCTTTCTATGTAGTTTGTAAACACAAATTATGTGTCGTCACATCAAGTATTTTTAACATTTTGAAAATGACTTCCAATAATTTTTCCCACTCTTTCTGTCACACCTAACTGTTGCTTCGTTTTACAGATGCAAGTGAGAGATTTAGGAACGTGAGAAAGTTTTCCAGCACATCTAACCATGGGTCCATGCTATGTCTGTGACTAGCAGTCATCCATAACCACAATCTGTGCCGAAACATAAACACACACTCGCTCAAGGCCTATTGTCTACACGCACAGCATGATAATACTCTATCTCATACACAAAGACACAATGTGAACACGTATGCGAGTGTTTGTTTAGGTGTGAGTAAGTGTATGTTAGGGTTCAGATAAATGCACCTACCATCATTCTTGTCGCCCACCTTCAGCTGAAATAAAGCTTTATTCCCTCAGTCACAGAAAAGGAGCGACTGCGAAATCTCTATCTGCTAGATAAACCCCAGGAGTCATACACCACTGATGCCACTGATTGTTCTCTATACACTCGCCATCATCGAGGCCCACTGGAGACGCCACTCGGTCATGGGAAACTCTTTTGAAAAATCAGATTGGCACTGCTTTTTAAGCATTCCCGCAGCCTCAGCATGTTTTCTGTTAATGGGAAAAGTTAAAGGCACACCAAAATGAGACGCACTCTGGAGATTAAAATAAAAGAAACATTTAGATTTGTGTCAGAAATATTGTGATCTTCAACATTTTTAAATTCAAGAAACTTTAGTTGTGAGTCCCATAGCACAAAACAGTTACATTTTAACTTTAATTTCCACTTTAACTTGTGTTTACACTATGATCAAACATAGAGAACAGACATGCAGCATGAAGAAAATAAATGAGAAGTTCTGAAGTTTATCTAAGCCATAAATGAATGGGAAATGTGGAAGTCCTTCCTATGAATGACTTGAAAATAGGTCACAGGACATCACTATTCCCTCGTAGTTGTCTCTCATAGTCATTACTATTCTCTCTTAGTCTCTCATAGACATCTCTCAGTCACAGGACATCATAGTCTCTTACTGCACATCACATAGTCTTTCACAGCACATAGTCTCTCATAGACGTCTCGCAACACATCTCTAGTCTCTCATTGCATACCATAGGTCTCAGTAGAGTCGGTGTGTCTGCATAGGTTTCATATTTAGGGGGCAAGCACTGAAGGTGCATAGGTACCTATTGTATCCGTTACGGTTCTTATTATTCTATTGGCTTCTTCTTCTACGGGCACCCTTTATTTTGGTGGTTCATTTGTTGAATTGTACATGAAGTTACAGTACATTGCATTTACATGCCAACTAATTCTCATTAGATTGTAAGTACTGTTTGGTTGGGGTTAGGTTTAGGGTTAGTGTAAGTTGACATGTACTCGTAAAGTTTCTTATAGTCAGTTAAATGTCTGTTTAGTAGCAGTATCAACAGAAATTAAGCTGTGTACTAATACTCAAATGGACCATCAAAATGAAGTGTTACCTCTTCTTCTTCCGCTTCTTCTTCTTCTTCTGCTCTGGGAGTCTACAGCATTCATATTAACCATTTGCGCAAACTTTGGCACACTGACAGTCTCATCTTCACTCACAACAAATTTTGACTCTCTATCTCAAACTCTCTAGCACCACCACTTGTCCAAAGTTTGCCTTATGTTTATCGTTATAACTTTAGAACCAAATGGGCTACAATCAAAAATCTTTTTCCTCTGAATCCTTTGCTGATTCAAATGGACTCAATGACATCATGAACATTTTTTCTCTATTTCGAATTTTTCATAACACCTATTTGAAAGATCTCATCCTGGGCCATTTGTCCGATTTTCACCAAAATTGAATCACATAATCTACAGACCTTGCTGACCAAATGTTATGGTATTCAAGTTGATTAGACAAACGTTTTTGATTAACTTGTGATCAAATTTAATGTAGAGGCAAAAACTTTGTAATGTATTGATGTATTCACACCAAACTTGGTGTGTGTTATGACAACTGTGGTCTCAGAGTACCTGCTGTGTTGGGGCGCACTGCCTCCTAGTGGTCTGGAGAGACAAAAACTTCTCAACCCTTTGCAAAAAGCATAATCAGGATCTACTTACAGTGTACAGATGTCACAGACAGGGAGCTTAAAGCTTGCCTTGATATATCTTAAATTAGTAAAATAAAAAGGTCATTTTAATGAAAGTTGTTTAAATACTCCATAACTTAACAAAGGCCTAGTCCTGGTTTAAAGGATATATTAGGGTTATGTTAGGGTTTAGGCTTGCTGAATGCAAAGTAAAGCATTTCTTACATACTTCCATACAGGGGCGAACTGGCCATCTGGCAATTCTGGCAAATGCCAGAAGGGCCTGACCAATTTTTAAATGTGGGCCGGTCAGTTTTTTTTTTTTCTT